AAACGTCCTCTCTGTATGCAAGCGGACCCTTTCGTTATGGAAAGGCTTACCGGAAAAGATGATGGTGAGTATGGCTATTCATATATTTCAAACCAAAAGAGCCTTAAGTTATAGGTATCGTCCTATTCAGGATGAATCGGCCAGAAACTAAGAACGCAATCAGCTCCCTTTTCTTGGAGAAGGTTGGCTTTTCTTTACCTGTTTTTATTGATTTTATCACAGTTGTGCAATTACTGCGAAAACCACATAAATGATGTTTATATAGTCTCTTTTTCAACTCAAGTAGCCTAAGTACATGTATATTTCGCAATTGAAATTGTTCTCAAGCATTTGATTTCTTCGGTTATCTAGTTCAAAACTGGCATGCCATTGTCTCATGTGTTGATAAACATTTAAACAATTAAGTTAAATAGGAAATTGTACCAAAGTGTAGTCGTAAGCTGTACAATTCTTATTACAATTCTGGTAAAAATCTAAATTAGTAATTATTTTCAATGCACGCCACCTCTACTCGAGGCTGAGTTGAATGATCAAAATATATGAGTTCAGATAGACAGGAGACGGCAGCAGCGGAACAAGTACGCCAGCGAATTGCGTGGTCTCAAAGTGATGAGGAAATCAGCTATACTTGTATGAGCCATAATGGTAATATTATACGAACTTCATGTCTGCTTTTGTCTTTTTGCTTTAAAGTTCATAGTAGCTTTTCAAGTAAAACAGAAGAAAAATTTTCAGGGAAGAAATTGCAATGTTTGAAAATGAATTAAAAGCTGGTATTTTTATCAGAGTTGGTGTAAAAATAGAATTTTGGGCATCAAATAGACATGAAGTTCTAGAATGTACTATGGGGAACGAGTATGATTGAAATTCTCATCTCTTTTGGCCACGCACCATTGCGCACTGCTCCCTGCTGCCACTTCTGTAAAGCATCAAAGGCAGTGTGAGGGCAAAAATAGGATTTCAAGTTTTCATCAGATAATGATGACCTAATTTTTGAGTAAGCTACCCCCAAATTTTGGCGAATAATTAGTCCGGTAAGCGAGAAAATTGCTCTGGACGTTTAGGTCAGCCCGCCTCTTTTAGGTCACCACTCAGTGGTTCCTCCTAACACCCCTCGTTGTGGTTTTGCTGTAAAGGTATGTTTTAGAAAAAAAAGCATGCAATAGTTTCGGGCCCCGGAATCTCTATTTTTCTTGACAATTTCAAGGCATTTGAAGTTGATATTTGGATGCTGCACAACGAAGTGGTCCAGAAGAGGTAGAAAATCGAATTGAAAATTTGCGAGGATACTGCCCCTAGAGATAAAGCAAGCCATCGACTCCTCGCTGTACCGCAACTGCGCCGCACCCTTTTTATTTGCACCTTGTACAGTATATCTATCTTCGGCAATTTTATCAGGAAAAACAAAATTTGTGATATTATATTTTCAAAGTAATTCATTTAAGGCACTGAATTGTTATATACACTTTGCTTATGAATGTTGCAACTTTTTTAGTCTATAAATAGGTGTTGAAGTCATATTGTGTCGGACTTATGTTTACACATGCGCCAACGATCGAATATAAGTGTCCACATTTTAAGAGGCAAAATTTGATTTCTTATGATTTTTTGATACAAGCATATGAAAATATGTTACTGAAAATCTATTGACCAAAAGCTCAACACCTCAAGGCTTCATAGTTTGGTATCAACCATTACTTACCCCGCCCATACAAATTACTAATTAATTTCATGATTTACTTTGAGTATTACAGTAGTGGAGTATGTTATGAGGGAATGGAAAAAACCTTGGATTGGACTAATAAAGACATCAGTACTGCTGTTTAAGAAGTGAATTTCATGTTAATTGTGAAACACGGAGATAGAATAGCCGTTGCGGCGTATTGGCGGTACATAGTCTTGTTCCCTTTTCACATACATTTTTAAGTTCTGTGTAAATTGAATACTACCTTGTTCATTTATAAGGTAAAGACTTGCTATGTACGCAAAAATGTGAATGCGATATTGACTTATCTTAATATCCAGCATTTTTTGCTTGCGATACAAAATGCGTTTTCATTGAGTGTAGGCGATACGGATGCCGCCATATACCACTTTTGACTGGATGAATTTTCAGCTGCGTGAAAGCATTGCCGCTGTGAAATTTGACAAGAACGTTCGAGTTGTTGTTCTCAAGAGTGATGTAGAGGGAGCCTTCTGTACAGGTATGTAAGAAGATTTTCTATAATTTGATTTCGATCATTACCCAAGTTATACGGAATTGGAAAAACATTATGATTTTTGTTTTGGGAAATTTCTTTTTTCGTGATTGTTTCGCTCCGTCACATTGACCATTTGTAAGCTGTTTTATTCTTTGAATTCTGTTATGAAGTCAAATTTGTGGAGATGGCTTTCGAAAATATTACCCCTATAACAGTTAAAAATTGCACATTCATGTAACAGTGAAGTTTGAGCATGATAGTAGCTGTTTACTTTACAACATCACGCACATATTTTCTGAATAGAAGGGGTTTTGTTTAAGACTGAATCACACATTTTTGCTTTGCAGGGTTAAAATTGCTTTTGATGAGTTCTTAGCACAGGTACTTGAAGCTGGGTATTGCAATCGTCAAACTTCTAGTCTATGTAAGCATTGAGCTAAACTGCTCAATTTCTGGTTTCATTTTTTGGTGTTGATGGTTCATATATAATTATAGGAGCTGATCTAAAAGAGAGAAAAATGATGCCGATTGAGAAAGTGCCTATTTTCGTTGATTCCCTGCGATCTTCTTTTTCCGAGGTATGTACGTGGTCAAGTTCCTTTTTATATAATCAGTTAATATATTACAGCTAGAAGGTTTGCCACAACCTGTGATTGCCGCTATAGATGGATATGCTCTTGGCGGAGGTCTTGAATTGGCTCTTGCATGCGATATCCGCGTAGCGTGTAAGTTGTTGAATATATCCTTCTTTCGTCTCATATATCGTTCATTTAAGCTGCCGAATCTAAAGTGGGCCTTACAGAAACGAAACTGGCAATTATACCTGGAGCAGGTGACGCTCATGACCTTTTTCCTTTTTGGGTTATTTAATTGTTGCTTGTCTAGGCGGAACCCAGCGGCTGACTCGTGCTGTTGGACCTGCGATAGCAAAGGAGCTTATCTTTACTGGACGTATGATTGGCGGTGAGGAGGCATGCCGCATGGGACTTGTTAATCACTGCACGAAGACTGACTCATTTTCTAAAGCTTTGGAAATTGCTCGAGAAATTATCCCGCGGGTTAGAAGAAATACTATTTTTTTCATGAAGAACCGTTTCAAGTGTTCGCTCTCTAGATTCAAACTTATTGGCATTCTCTTCGTTTGGGTTCTGTGCAACGTCCGCTGATCATAATAAGGGTCTGGTTATTTTTAGGGACCTATAGCTGTCCGCCTTGCAAAAATAGCCATTGACACTGGTGCGGAAGTCTCCTTGAGCAACGGTCTAATAGTGGAACAACAGTGTTACGCTCAAGTATATTTTATGTCTGCTTTTTGTTTTGAAGAGCGTTGAATAACGATTGTCATTTTAGGTCATACCTACCAAGGATCGCTTAGAAGGTTTACAAGCCTTTGTGGAAAA